GAGAGAGAGACAGAAAAAAAAAAGATAATCTTATTACCAAGATTTAATAATTAGACGCGCTCTGGGATATAGGCTATACATCAATAATGAGTCCTTTTCATTTAAGTGTGAGAATAAACCCCGCCGCTCAGAAAAATTCCCCCCATTCATGCGTCACCCAGCCAATTTACATGTTTGTTTCTTATTAAGGCGTGCACCCGCCACATGAAACAACATCTCGACAAGAATCCAGTGTCAGAGCCGCAGATATGCTCAGGCGAGAGAGTAAAGTGCACAGAGACACTTCTGTGAGTCTCGTTACATGGTGAGCAGGGCAGCGTCCTCAGACACTGACTTAAAACGACATGCATGAAAGAATAGCCCTCCGTAGTGGGCTACAAGATTATGCAATTACACTGAGCCAAAACCCCACACACCCACATAAATATACAGCGGCCTTTATTAGTCCTACAGCCTTCACACCTTTTTTTTTTTTTTTTTGAGGTGTAAGGAAGATTTCTGGGTGAAACACTTCTGTAGTCAGCAGTGGCCGCTGGGCTGGTATATAACGCTTAGTCAAACCTGCATTCGGGCACTGCTATGCATACCAAGAGACGTGCTGGTGATGGGGAAGGCAAGGGCGAAAAAACGCGCTCTCCAGCCGCACTGTAGCATACCACTCCTTACCTTATCTGCAGTGTGGGCAACTTAAAGCGGTACACATCCCCAGCATTGTTCAGCAGCACGGAGGTGGTCAGTTGGTTTCACTTTTGTTTGTTTTTTGCCTAATTAAGCAGGCAAATAAGCATTTAGTGCAGTATTTGATGGTTTTGTATCAGTTCTTTTATTCTAGGAAGATATATGGTTCCAACATGAGGACTGTTGTTCACAGACATGTACAGTAACTGAGTAGATGAGGCAGCAGCTGGTGTTCTGGAAAATGTTTCAGCACGTCCTGCAAACAATCTACCTGAAATGCATTTCAGGAGACATTTTTTTCTCATTCTGGTGTTTCTTCTGAGCTCCATTGTTGTAATAAAAAGCACATACAGTAGCGACAACAATTACAAAGTCTCTTTTTGCCTTGTAATTCTTGCTACAGCAGTTATATTTGTAACCTTTCCTGGCAACAAGCTTCATTAATAATAGATAGGAGGGTGACTAAAATAGAGCAAAACCTCCATCATTGTGCCCTGATATATTCAGAACAAAGAACAAACTGATCAATAGTAAAGCCTCTCCGTGCTGGCTGGGAATGAAAGCACTGTGGCCAGAAATGACCTCCAGAGAAGCCAAAGGTCAGCGGGAATCCCTCGGTTGTGAAGGGGGGGAAGTGAAGGAGGACAAACCATAGGGGGGGGAGAGGCCAGAGGGATGATTTGTGTGGGACTCGGCTTTGCCAAGGTTACTCCTGGCAGACCCGAGACCATCACGTCTCCCAGCCTCGTCCCTTCTGTCAGTCTGTCTGCTGCCACACATGCGGATACCTCTCACTATCTCTTAATGGCTTTCCCAGGTTCCTCATGACAGCGCTGCCATTATTTATGAGCTGGGGGCCCATTACAAAGACCGTTAATGCAGGCTCTAAAGCTTAGTTCACTTTGCATTAGCTGGCTTGCTTTAATTAAAAGTGAAGGTCCCGCTATAAATGCTGTGCGTGTTTCAATCACATGGGGACGTGAACATGGGTGGTTGAAAAAGTTGGCCGATGAGAGTGTCAACAATGAATTTGTTTACAAGAGGTATCGATTTCAGATGATGTTTTGGCGCAGAAACAAGGAGCAGAGAAAATTAACTTGAGGACTGAAGAACTGGAGGGTCATTGTCACTGAGCCCTGAGTTTAATGACATTCCTTCACTGCTGTAGTTTTATTTACTGTAAGGGAGCAATGTGTAAGATATGGCCAGAATTATTGCTCACGAATGTTAAAAACAACATTATCAACATAACGTGACATTGTCTACGTGATGCACACAGGCCCCAGTTTTTCCGAGTGTCACAACCCCCACGAATTTCCAGAAGAGCGGCACGATTAAATCCTTGTATCCCCATTCAAGTTAGTAGAGGGCTAAACCATAAGTTAGCGGCTTGACCAGTGGACATATATACACCAAAACATGTATATGTTATTTGCCCCTGGGCCCCTATCAGGTTAATCTGGGAATTCCTGGTGCAGATATAATAGGTGAGTTTTGGTACTTTTGCCAAAACTAAACTTTTTTTGATACCATAATTTGAGAAATATGATCATATTTTCTACAAAATCCTTTTTCTATTCAACAAAAGAAGTTTCTCAAATGTTCAGCCTTGTCTAAATACAAATAAATATTACAAATCTGACATTTCTACGTTACTTAGCTATTACTTATTATTCTACTTCGTTTAAGAATGCTTGATTCTGATTGGCTGGGAGAAGGGCATTAACCCGGCATATTGCGGCGCTGACTGAAGCACAGCGTCATCAAATAGTAGATCAATACGCACTTGTATTTTTTTTCTGTCACATAAAATTTCAAACATGAGGTGCCATTGTAAAAATACACCTTGTTTAAAAAAAGTTTCTAAAAATGTGTCGGAAATCTATCGGAGGGTCAGTCGATAAGCGGATACACAATGTGGGCAACTACGTTATTAAACCTTAAACGTTAAGTGATCAGATGAAGCCTTGTGTGTTTTGCTATAGAAACGAATTAGCTAACAGCTGAGGCTCACGTTATTCAC